CCTCACCTTTTCCCAGCACTAATACTGGAACTTACATTGCCCAAATCACTTCCTCCTGAAAAGTCTGCCTAGCCAGATTCCTTTCTGATACAGGTTTTTTCCACACCTCCGAAACTGCTAACGGACAATTCTACACTAATTTTCATAGAGCAGATGCCCTTCTATACTCATACGAAACACATGTGGTTACTGACCTAGGCCAGGAGTGTTTGCATTCCTGTCAAATTTTTATCCTAGTTAATTCAACTTTAGAAAAAGACTTTTACTATCCACGTCTACATATAATCTGTCTCAGAAGCCCACGTCATAGTCATTTATGCACAGCAGAGACATAAATACTACTTTCAAACATTACAAATTTCCTTAGGCATCAATTACCAATGCCCAGATTCAGAGCAAGAGATGAACACTGCAGTTTTCACTGGTACAAAGCTAGTGTCCAGGAGATGAACAGAGTTTCATTTGCCCCTCCCTAAACAATCCTCAAATACTGCAGGTACATAAAAAGCAACATAAAATATTAGCTCTCCTGCTCATCATTCTTACTAGCTTCTATTCTCCCAAATTTTCAGTATTCTGAGCTGTAATTTTAAGCACACAATTTTTGGTTTATAAGTTTAACTCATTTCATTTTAAGATTTGCTGTATAAAAAAAGAACAAAGCTATTCTAGTATGCAATCTATGTCCTTTTAAAAATAAGCTATTTTTAATAAAGCAGCATTTTTATAGAAATTACCACACACTATGCTGCCTCTCTAGCTTCCACAAGCCAGCAGTCTGAGAGCTGTGCTGGGGACTGTGGCCTAGATGCCTCAATACCTGTAACCCATTGGTTCTGCGATGAGTGCAGGAGTGGTGTGAATGAGCACTCAGGATAGCACAATGACCAGTTCTAGAACCACTTACATTTGAAATGGTCCAGTCTTTTGATTTAAGTAACAAAACATACAAAAATGAGCAAAATGCTCTAGGTAATATCACCTACCCAGCAACTCCTGTTAGGTTAGGTGGTAATTTCAAACAACGCCCCTACTCTGCTCACTTTCCACACCCACAAATCTGGCAAGACCAGATTTCTCTGCCATGCCTGCGCCTCTTTGCTCACTAGCAGCAAACGCACTGCCTGATGCACTGATGACACCTCTGCCCCGCCAGAGGTCCTGCAGACACCACATGCCTCAGCCTTCGCACTCACTTGGGAGTCTCTGTGGTCTCCAGAAGTTCCGAATACTGAGATGCGCAGTGCTAACGAGAAACAGAGGGAGTTAGAGAACACAGAACGGTTAATGCAGCCAATTCAGTTTACTGGCAAAGCTCTTAGGGGGCACGGAGGGCACCTGGGTTCCCTCCTCTAACAGCCAAGTATCCTTTGAGCATGTTTCACAGGGACAGAGCTGCATGAGCTGGAGTTATCTCCATTACCACAAGGGAGCCCAACGTAGTAGGGCTTGTTCCCATTCAACACTCTGCTCCCATTCATACTATCCTATCAGAAAAAAAATTTTCAACAAAAACACTAAGTATCTTAGAAGGAAAATACCGCTACTGTACTAGTATGGGAACCTGCAGTGGCTTCCCAAGCTGCTGCGTACCCAATGTATCTATAAGGAGGGTCAGCTAGCACCATACAGAGTCAGCCCTGTAATGCCAAATAAAAACTAGGAAAGAATAAATTAAATTAAAAAGGTAACCCCACAAATTAACACGTCCTCCCCTGGTTTTCCAAGATCCTGATCTTTGAACAGTCATACTCCAAAATATCAGTGCTAGTTATAGAACAGGTTGAACACAACACGACGCTTAAAATTACAAATCTAAACTATGATTTCAAATCAACAACCAAAAATCTTTGATTTAAATAATAAATTTTAATCCCATTTCCATTTATATTGTTTAGCTATTTGCTAAACAATAATGAGTTGAATAAATGAAATAGAAAAAACACGTTTTCATCTGCAGAAGACTTGTGCAACAGTTTGGCTGACACTGCAATAGACTCAAGGCCAGGTGCTCAGACAGTGACTTCCACAAATTTAGGGGTCTAAGGACAGTGGGGGACAAGGCTCTTTGGGTCAATCCAATATCACTCCATCCAGGAAGAGCACAAACCATCTGCGGATACTTCCTCAGCCTGACAAAGGGTGTTCGTGCCCAAAAGCTGGCTTCCACAAATTTAGCAATTTTACTTTCTTTGAAGTTTGGTAGCATGCGTGTAATGTGCTATCTCTGTCTAATATACTTTTAACAGATTATATCAAGCTTAAACCATAAACAATATAATTTGTTTTATTTTCACATATGTTTTTGTATAAATTTTAGTTTTGGAGAAAAATGAAGCAAAGCTGTTTGAAGTTTAAATTAAAAATCTTATTTAACATGTTAAGTGACCACTTTTCTACCCCTCTACTCAGTTAAAACTGGAGTCCCTTGAGCAAGAGCTCCCTGGCAGCGGAAAATGGACTCTCTAGGGCTCAGCAGCCAGCACCTTACCTTTTGAGAGAACCAGTCAGGTGGGCGGCCCGGCTCTGCAAAGGGCTTGATGGCCCTGCTGACTGACACCCTACGGGGAAGAGAGGACGTCGGTGAAGCCCAGCCCTGCCCTCCTGTCCTCGCCAGTACGTGCTCAAGTGATACTGGACAGCTCCTACCAAAAGCTGAGAAAGCTGCCACACTTACAACAGCTTCCCTGCTAGCGGCTCTATTTGGCGAGCTGAAGATTCGTCCATTTGCCCAAATAAAGAGAGCCAAGATTCAACTCCTGCTGAATGACAGTGGCAAGCCAGGTCCTAGACTTCCTTATCCCAGCAGCTCGGCTCCGTCCTCGTCCCCTCCCGCCGCAGGAGCCGCGGCCCAGGCCCCCTAGGCGCCACG